CTGTTGCGGTTAATCTGGGCCCGCAGGCGCTTGATATCCTGCATAAAGTCGTCGCGGGTGGGCGGCTGCTCCTTGCGCAGGCGGGCCTGTGCGCGCTTGTAGCGCTCGTAGTCGTGATCGCAGCTCTCGAGCAGGCGGAAGCACTTTTGCAGCTGCTTTTCCGTCTCCTTGTTGGACATGTCGCCCATGGAGACGCGATGCTCCTCGAGGAAGTCCTCCAGAACGTAGTTGCGAGCCCTCTCGCGCTGCTCTTCCGTGACGGCGCTGACAGGGGCGCCGCTCTTACGCCAGCGGCGGAAGAACATGGCCAGCATGACCACACCATACATGCAGTACGGCTTAACAATCATCGTCTTGACCAGCTGCCACAATTCTGACCAGGCGACGCGCGCGTACTGCGGATTACAGGCAGAGAGGTGGGCGACAAAACCGACATTGACCTGCAGAGCCCAGTGGGCACAGAGATCGAAGAAGTGCCTCTGGGCGCCTTCCGTCGCACTTCCGTCGACCACTCCCGCCCGGTTGAGCAGCTCCAACAGCGTAGTCTGCATGCTGCTGGCGAGGAGCAGTGTCAGCATGATTAGCTTTAACGAGAAATAGTCGCCTTGCAGCGGATCCTGCGCGTGTCCCAGCCGCCGGTTGCGCACATAACGCAATTGTCGCACCACTGTAATCAGAAATAGGAACAGCGAGATGCTCAGCTGCCAGGTAAAGAGCAGCTGGCTGTTGCCGTGCGACATCACAAAGGCGAGAGCGTGGCCCAGCATGTGCGACAGCGAGTAGTCCAGCACGAAGGCGTTGACCAGACCCGTGGGCAGCGCGCTCACGTTCCAGGACGTCATCATGATCAGGATCTGGGTGGTGAATATGAAGGTGGAGAACTGCCAAGAGAGCAGGGCACAGGCGGTAAACAGCGACATGGCGAAGATCTGCAAAAGGCATGGTTGTCACTGAGCTTAATGCAATAAGACGCACCTATTACCATAAACAAGCGCGATGTGTGCCGCTGTCGGTGTATGATCCTTCCGATGCAGATGCACAGGTAGAACATTTGTAGGAATATGAATGGAAAGGCAAAGTTCTCCCGCGCCAGCGGCCTTTCATAGATCTTGGCCACGAAGCTGTGGAACATCAGGTACGAGATCACACCGTATATGCCACCGAAAATGTTCTCGCTGAGCAGCGTTCCGTACAAGTAGAGGACCAGCAGTGTTACCCCGCCCATTAGCCACACGAACTCCAGATAGAACTGCATGGGCTGCACCATTGGATTAAATCCGGAGCGCACCACGTGAAAGAAGTACCTTTTGGGGGGTAAATGCAATGCACAATGCAAATTAGTGGGCTTTTCGGAATCACTTCTCTGGTAGTAGTCACTTACGCCGTGACCAGCTCCGGCAGCACGTAGAATCGCTGCAGCACATTGACACTGTGCGGATACTCGATGTCCGTGACGTTCTTCAGCTGCTCGTAGCCGTGCCAGAAGTTCGGTCCGTCGGCCAGCTGCTTGTAGAAGGCATAGTACAGGGCATCTTCGCGCCGCAGGAGCGCCTCTCGTTCCAGCTGATTCAGCTGCTGGATGTTGGTGCGCGTCTCGAAGATCACGCGCACATGCTGCACGTACAGGAAGAAGAAGCCGGAGCCTGGGATGCGGATTGAAATTTGGAGTTTGGTGAATGGCAGTGGGAATCCCCGATTGAATTGGACTGTCCCCTGGAAGCGGAAGAGGCGTGGCAGAACAGTCTGCCGGTACATGGAAACTCACCGATTAGCGCGTGCGACAGGATCACGTACAGATTGGGCTCGCGCATCGTGCTGCGATTGCGGGTGTCGTCTCACTGGGTGGCTGTGCTTAAATTGGCAATCATTATTTATTTCACAACGGTTATTGCTCGCTCTGCACAATAAAAAACAGCCACCAATCAGCTGTTTTTCGGCTGTGTCCACTTAGAGTGACCGCGACGTGTTGTTGGCAAAACGCCCATTTGCGGTAGTTCGGCCACACCGTGCTTAAGGTACAAAAGCTTTTTTAGGTACTTATAAAATTTAACATTTCTCCCAATACAAGGTATAGGTATAATTCGTTAATACCAATATCTACTAGAACAAAAGCACTGTATTGTATTTGTCTTGGGTTGTATATATATCAGTATCGATATTAGGTACAATTACAGTTCAGCAACAACAGTGGTATTTTTTAGAAAAAGAACCTTGTCTGCGCCATCTAGTACATTCGTATCCCTATTCGGTACCGAAGCCGAGTCCCCGAGCTCAAAGTTATTTTCGGAGTCAGCGGCTACGGTCATACTGCACACACTTCGGTGGAAATCGCATCCCATCCCGCAGCAAAACAAGGAATAACAATGAACCGCTACGCGGTAAGCTCGCTGGTGGGTCAAGGATCCTTCGGGTGCGTCTACAAGGCGACGCGCAAGGACGACAGCAAGGTGGTTGCCATCAAAGTGATCTCCAAGGTGAGTGAGTGGTGGTGCAGGTGGTAAAGCAACAAGTCCTTCCAACTATTCCAAACCATGGTCATGTTCTGCAGCGCGGAAGAGCCACGAAAGAGCTGAAGAATTTGCGCAGAGAGTGCGACATCCAGGCCAGGCTGAAGCATCCGCACGTCATCGAGATGATTGAGTCGTTCGAGTCGAAGACGGACCTCTTCGTGGTCACCGAGTTTGCCCTGATGGACTTGCACCGCTACCTGTCCTACAATGGAGCCATGGGCGAGGAGCCGGCACGTCGGGTGACCGGGCACCTGGTCTCCGCTCTGTATTATCTGCATTCTAACCGCATCCTACACCGGGATCTCAAACCGCAAAACGTGCTGCTCGACAAGAACATGCACGCGAAGCTCTGCGACTTTGGACTGGCCCGCAACATGACTCTGGGCACCCATGTGCTCACCTCGATCAAGGGAACGCCACTCTACATGGCCCCGGAGCTGCTGGCGGAACAGCCGTACGACCACCATGCGGACATGTGGTCACTGGGCTGCATAGCCTACGAGAGCATGGCCGGTCAGCCGCCCTTCTGCGCCAGCTCCATCCTGCATCTGGTGAAGATGATTAAACACGAGGACGTTAAGTGGCCCAGCACGCTGACTAGCGATTGCCGCTCCTTCCTACAAGGCCTGCTTGAGAAAGACCCCGGCCTGCGCATATCCTGGACGCAGCTGTTGTGTCATCCCTTCGTTGAGGGACGCATCTTTATCGCAGAAACGCAGGCGGAGGCGGCCAAGGAATCGCCTTTCACAAATCCTGAAGCCAAGGTGAAGTCGTCTAAGCAGGGCGATCAGGAGGCAGGCGATTTGGACGAGGCCCTAGCCGCTTTGAACCTTGGCCAGCCGCAACAGGAAAACTTGAGCACCTCCCGCGACAGCATCAACGCCATTGCTCCCAGTGATGTGGAGCATCTGGAGACAGACGTGGAGGACAACATGCAGCGCGTAGTCGTTCCGTTCGCGGACTTGTCCTACAGGGATCTGTCCGGTGTTCGGGCTTTGCCGGTCGTACACCAGCCGCTGATCAACTCGCACACTTGCTTCGTCAGTGGCAACTCCAACATGATCCTCAACCGTATGAACGACAACTTCGACTTTCAGAACCCCTTGCGAAGCGGAGGAGTGACAGCTAAGCCAATAGTCGTTCCAACCGTACGCCAGTCGCGTAGCAAGGATCTAGAGAAGCGTAAGCTCAGTCAGAATCTCGATAACTTCTCCGTTCGCTTGGGTCACAGTGTCGACAATGAGGCGCAACGCAAGGCCAAGGAGATTACCACACAGGATAAGCTTATCCAGGGAAATAAGCCTACAGCTGAATCCCATTCCCAAGCAAATTCTCAGACCCCGCAGCAACAGCCACAACAACTAAAGCACTCAATGCATTCCACCAATGAGGAAAAGCTGAGCAGCGAGTAAGTAGCCACAGCGTCCCTTGTCCTTTCTTTTAATAACTTTTTCCCCCGCACAGCAACACTCCGCCGTGCTTGCTTCCTGGGTGGGATAGTTGCGATGAATCCCAAAGTCCGCCCATCGAGAACGACGAGTGGCTAGCCTTCTTGAACCGATCGGTGCAGGAGCTGCTTGACGGCGAACTCGACTCATTGAAACAGCACAACCTGGTGAGCATTATTGTGGCACCGCTGCGCAACTCCAAGGCCATTCCGCGGGTGCTCAAGAGTGTGGCCCAATTGCTGTCCTTGCCCTTTGTGCTGGTGGATCCCGTCCTGATTGTTGATCTCGAGCTGATCCGTAACGTGTATGTGGATGTAAAGCTGGTGCCCAATCTCATGTACGCCTGCAAGCTGCTCCTGTCGCACAAGCATCTCTCGGACTCGGCCGCCTCCGCCCCACTCACAATGGGTTCGCTCACCCGAACGTTGCGTAGCATCCCGGAGCTAACTGTCGAGGAGCTGGAGACGGCTTGCAGTCTGTACGAACTAGTCTGCCACTTGGTACATCTGCAGCAGCAGTTTCTCACTCAGTTCTGCGATGCGGTGGCCATTCTGGCAGCAAGCGATCTGTTCCTAAACTTCCTCACCCACGGTAAGATTCCCTTAGATAGCCAGAGCCGATTTCTGTAAACTGTAAACTGTAAACCCGTTCCCGTTCTCGCGCAGACTTTAGGCAATCGGATTCGGACGCCGCCTCTGTTCGCCTGGCTGGCTGCATGCTAGCCCTGATGGGCTGTGTGCTGCGCGAACTGCCCGAAAACGCCGAGCTGGTAGAGCGGATTGCCTTTAGTCCGCGACTAAACTTGGTCTCGCTTCTGCAGAGCCGGCACCACCTGTTGCGGCAACGTTCCTGCCAACTCCTGCGCCTGCTGGCTCGCTTCAGCCTGCGCGGAGTGCAGCGTATCTGGAATGCGGAGCTGCGCTTTGCGCTGCAGCAGCTGTCTGAGCACCACTCGTATCCGGCACTCCGAGTGGAGGCCGCCCAGACCCTCGACGAGATCAGTCACTTCACTTTTTTCGTCACCTAGCCGGCACTTTCTTTTATTGGCGTCAGGCGCCTCTATCCGAGCAGATCCTGAATGTTGCCCTGGAAGTAGTCGAGCAGCTCGTCGATATAGTTCCCGAAGTTAAGTAGGTAGTCCTCGCTGCAGTCCTGCTCGTACATCTCGTTTAGCTTGGACACATCCTTGTCGGAGAGGCCGCGTCTCTGACCCAGCGAGGCGTACGGATCCTGGAAGCAAATCAGAGCAGTCAGGGAGTGTAGAATGCATCTCCTCAATTACCACCAAGTCATTTTCAAACATCTCATCGCTTTAACTTCAACTGCTAAGGTTATACATCCAGCGAAAGCATTCTCTTTAGACATACATCCATCTGAACAAGGAAGCAAAACGCTTCGTCTACTCCTAGCATAGTTACAGCTCATTGGACCACGCGTTAATATAGGAATTCCTAATCCGATAATGATCAAATCACTATTACTATCGAATTTAAATATTTTAGGAGACATGGTTTTGTGCATTCTCTAATCAAAATATAAGTTTAGCGATAGGTGTTTGTGAGTGCACATAATTAAGTAGGATGGATCCCTTGTAGACGATAGAATAATCATTGCTATCTCGAAATATAACCACTTAAGAGTAGTAAGTGTTAAGTGTATAGTGGGAGCAGAGTATATAGCAAGCGAATTCACTGTATCTCCATACGATACGTCCAATAACTAGCAGTATTATTATTGAGTGTTATACTGAAATTCTTTACAATGTATGCGATTTAAATGAATACTCAATTACATAAATGTGTTGCAACTGGATATGAGAGACTTTGGAAGCATTTCGGATGGCCTACTCACCAGTGGCTCAATGGTGGCCTTCCCGTTCTTGCTGAACGCCCGCGAACTGTAGTGCATGACGCTCTGGTAGTCGTACTCCACGCCGAAGTTGGTGATGTGGGTGCGGGCGTACTTGTTGAAGTTGTGCGCGTGCCCGTCGAGGATGTTCTCCCAGTTGATCTTGACGTACTCATCCCGCTCCGTGGCGCTCTGTTGGTGGTAGAAGCCGAGGGCGTGCAGCAGCTCGTGCACCACCACGCCGTGGGTGACGCACTTGGGCGTGTTCAGATTGAGCACCTGGCCACCAGAGCGCCTACCGACACTCGACCAGCAGCCGGAGTAGTTGCCCTTGATGAGCAGCCAGTGCTTGTCGCCCTGCTCGTACGGCCGGAAGCGTATGCAGGTGCGGTCGTGGTACTCCTTGAAGGCCTTCAGTATGACCATGGTCTGGTTGGCGGCTGTTTTCGATGGGGAGCATTACTATTTTACGCTGCCTGGAGGCGTTTACTCACTGAAGTCTTGGGGGTCTATGTAGAAGGGCACGGCGGCCTCTGGCCAGGTGAGCCGCTCGTTCAGCAGCCCGTTCCTCAGCAGCTCGCGGTGCAGCATGATGTCGCCCTCGAAGAGGCCGCAGTGCTCCCAAATGTTCGTATCGCTATCCTCCGTCCAGAAGTTGAAGGCGGGACCTGCCAGTGCCAACGGTTGAGTGCATTGAATACTAGGGAATGATTGAGTGATGGGTACCTACTGTTGTGCCGGCGCAGCATCTGCATATTGGCGCCCCACCTGGGATTGGGTGGCACCGCGGGTCGTGCGCGAGGAAGCGCCTTTCGATCTGTGCCCAGGGAGGTGGCGCCCAGGGCCAAGGCCAGGGCAGACCCAAAACAAATCAGACCGGGAACGATGAGCGCACTTCTCGGCATTGTTGGGGTAAAAGAAACGCCGGCCATGTGGCGTCGACGCTTTTATATGGCCCTGCGTTAATGGGGCGGGGCAACGGCAACAGCAACGGCAATTTCAATTGAAAGTACGAGTGAGTACTGAGTGACTGACTGGGCGACTGAATGACGGACGCCCACGCCGCTGGATTTCGGATTTATGCATAACTTAACGGACTTATTGGCTCTCTCTTTCGGCGCGCATTCAAATTCCCCCGCCCCGACTTTTACGGCTTTTGATTCGAAATTTAACTGGGATATTGGGTTATCAGTGGCAACGGTGTGCGCATATGAAAATAGCACACTCTCTTCCCCCTTCCACTTGCGCTGCCACTTCCACTACCACTTCCAGTGGCAGTACCACAACCCCGTATCAGTGGCAGTGCCTTCCTGTCTTCCTATCTCGTAGCGAGCCGATCTCCACGCGATCCACTCAATCTCGATCTTCGATCTCACGTCCGCACAGAAAGAGGGAAAAAGCGGCAGAGACACCATGGAAAGCCGGCAGGAGTTCTTTGACCCCCATCGATTGATGATGTTGATGGCCAATGACAGTTGGCATCTGTCGGTGGCAAAAGTGAACGCTGGCAGCTATCTGGTCATCTTCTCCCTTTCTCTGACCCAGACCCGGATGGCTTGGCTTATCCGCCAATTGAGTGGGTCACTGCAGTGGCAGTGGTCGTGGCTTCAAGTGGGTCGCCGTGTGGGCACCCACGAGATCACCAGAACACGATTTCGTCAACAGGCAACCAGGCAACCTGGCAACCGGGAAACAAGGCCCACCAACACCAGCAATTTTGGCCAATCTTTGAGCCGCAATCTAGATCCACAGCGGCTTTCTTAAGCAGCTCCAGCAATTACCAGCGGATGGCGATGGAGTGCCACACATTTCTTTCTAACTTGTTGTGGAACAGCCACTTACTACTCGCTGCTGCTGCTGCGGCTGCTGCAGCTGCACTTTCACTACGAAATTGCACCAAAATCTGAGCCACATTGCAATGGATTTCGAGAACATTTTGGTCATGGCAACTGGAAATGCCTGGCCATCAGCAAGAGTAGCGGATGCAGAAATCTCCGGGCAGCAGCACTCCAGCAGCTCCAGCTTCACCTCCGAATCCGCATCCGAATCCAACTACCACTGCGACTGCAGCATCAGGGGCAACGACAGCAAAACACATTTGACGTACTATCTGCGATGTACTTGATCTTTGTCGAAAACTTGACACACTTTTTTCGGTCAACGGCTGGCTGCAAATGGCAACGACTTCCAGCTCGACTGCGGAAAATTCGAGGGAAATCGCTAGTTACACAGAGGAAAACAGTGATATCAATGATAAACTAGCACCACCTGGCAGTTTGTGTTCTGAGTGCATCAATTTAGCTTTTACGAGACTTTCAATTCCAATATCAATGTAATAACTTTAATTTTCCTAAATTGAAAAAATCTGATTATTTTTCAACTATTCTTATTTTTAAGAGGTGTATTTATGGCATTTATTTATATAAATAACTATAAATAACCAATAAAAATAGAGTAACAAAATTCTAATTAAAAGCCAAAGTTAATGCCAAAACTACTTATATCAAACATAGGATAAGCCATCCCATTTTTTCGTGTGCATTTAGCAAAATAGCATGCTAAGAGTCGCGTCATCAGCATCATTTCAAATGCAATTTTAAATTGAGAAAGTTTAGCGGGCTGAGATTGTGAGTTTGCGACAAGACAAGCGGGCCGCAGATGCAGATGCATTTTCAAAGATACATGGATGCAGAGACCGAGTCTCTGGCTCCAGGCGGTAATTGACTTCCTGCATGACGCTGAGAACGCTGGCTTTCGGTGGGTGTTAGATGGTTGGCTGGCTAGATCGTTGGATCGTTGGATCGTTGGATGGTGGGTTGGATTGTTGGTTGGACTGTTGGGTTCTTGGCCTTTGTTGTTTTTCACTTTTGGCCAGCGGCAGTCACTTTCTGCGCCACTGGCCCAGAAACGGGCCTTGTTTGCGGAGCCATCAAGTGCTAGGAGTCGGAGTCGGAGTTGGAGTTGGAGTTGTGGTCGGTTCCTCTCCAGAGATCAGATTTCTCCACTTCCTTTTGGCCGCTGCTGACACAGAACTGTCATCTCGTCAAATCGAGGCATTCGGGCAGTGGGAATCGGAATCGGAATCCAATTCTATGCCCAGTCCAAAGGGGAACTGCAAGTGGAAAAAAGGGTGCCCCTCTTCATCGGCGGACTGCTTAATAGACCAGAAATGCGCGAGAGCTGCAAGAGCTGTGCTTGGATTTCACCTGTCGGATAATCGGCTTGCCTTTCCACAGCTTCCCCTGTTACGGCACCGAATTGCAAGAAAAACAAGAGAAAAATCGATTGAAAGCCACAGCGGCGGCAGCAACAGCTTGCCAAAACAAATCCAAACTGAGGCCCAAACTGAAAACCAGTTGCGGCAGTTTCCTTCCGGAATCAATTATTTTTCACTTTGCTGATTTTTCACGTTCATGGTCACAAATGCACAAACGCAGCAACAACAAGCATGCAACGGCGTCAGTGTGTCAGTAGTGGCAGCCACTAAAAGCTAGTAGGAGCCACTAAGTGCCACTAAAAGCCGGCAAAAAGCACGACTGGCTGCCTTGTTTTGTATTTTGCAGCTTGTGGCTGGTATTTTCAGTGGGCTTATCGTTGTGCACATTTTGTCTGCGCTATTGCCGCCATTTAGCTGGCTTTTCGAGTGCTTTTCCGACTGCATCGCTTCCCATTTTGCGTTAGCGACAATTTGGTCAACTGGCACTGGCAGATTGACGGACTCTCAAGACGATTCCAAGAAATTTCTATCGCCAACTCCACATTAGTTTAATTGGTGAAATTGACTACGGATTCGATTCGGATTTTTGTGGTGTTTCGCCTTGGCGTTGCTTTTGTTAGCCGCAGCGGCCCCAAAAACGCATTGGGCGAAAGTATCTGCCGGCCATATTCGGTCATCCAGATGGGATCTGATTAATGAGGTATTGGCTGGTCGGGGATTCCCTTATTTCAACCATGGCCCAAAGGGCCGTGGTCATCACTGGCCTATGATGTAAGCTTAACTTATCCTATGTTAGATTTTAAAGTACGAAGGGGTTTGTTTATCGCCTACGCCTAGCAAAGTAAGAGCTTAAGAAAAACTTTGCTAAAGTAATAGGAAATCAGAATAAATTGTTTAAACAGTTAAACAATTTTTACCCAGAAACACAGGTTTTTAAATTATTAGCTTTACTACTACGAGTATAAGTATCGAATACAAATGTAAGACTCCACATCCCTTGTGATCGTCGCATTCCGCAGATTTTCCACGGCTCTTCAACAGTTTCCGAGTGAAACGAATGACTTAGGCAACGAACTTGCTAGAAAAGTTGCAGCAATTTGCGAGCAGAGCGAAAGTTATCTTGCAATTGATTGATCACCAACTTTCTACTCTCCAGAGAAATTATAATATGTGCAATTTGCGCTGATTCTGAGCGCGGGGAGGACGGAGGGGGCATAGCGACTCCTGAGGGAGGCGGTGCAGCTATTTCAGCCAGAGCGAAAGCAGAACACTGGAGTGGCAATATAGCTATATGGGCCCCATCAAATGTTAATGAACTTTGCATGCATAAATTACAGGAGCCATCCGGCACATCCGCCTGTGCCGAATGCCCCAAAATGTGGCACATGCCACACAATGCACGATGGTGCCATTGAAAGCGCAGGTCCACTTACCTAACTGACGGGTCTTAAGGCCAGGGTTTGTGCCACTTCGTGTCGCCTTTGGCAACTTTGTGGCACACACATTGCGCATACGCCACCGAGCCGCGTCGTTCTCTTTGGCCCACTCTTCGGCGCCAGATTTCTCTTTCTCCGCGCGGTTTGAGCGCTTTCTCGGCTCCATACCGCTCAAACATGTTTGAGCCGCCGCCGCTGGCTCGATCCATCTGTGTTATCACTATCACTTGGCGCGCGCTTGGAGCCAGCCATTCGGCGACGCGCCGAGGCGCTGATAAGACGCGGCTCCAACTGGCAACCGACAGCTTGGCAACTTGGCAGCGGGAACGGGAACGGGGCAACGGAACATATGGTTACTGAGCAGCTGAACAACTGAACAACTGAGCATCTGAGAAACTGAGCAACTGGCAACTGGCAACTGGCAACTGCAACTACAACTGCAGCCAGTTGCGTCTGATGTCTGATAACAAGCCGAATGCCAAATGTATGCCAAATCAAGTGCATTGAACTCGAGCGGGGCCACAGCGTCGCTGCCGACGCTGGCAGCGACTGCGACGACGACGACGACGTCGACTGAGACAGCGGCAGCGACGACGACGAAGACGGCGCAGCAGCGCGTCACATATCCTGCCGCATGCCGTCAGTCCTTCGGATTTTCTCAGCTTTTCCGCATCTGCAACATGGGCTCTCGGCGGCGAGTTCAATGACACTTCACCTACTTGTATTCAAATTTGGTAGTGCCGTGTGGAGGCACTGCCAACGCTTTCAAAGCTGAAAAATAGGCTATTAATTAATTATTATTCGCATAAGTATAACGCTATTTATTGAATTCCTTTCTCTAATTCAAACGAGCTGCATAAATAATAAACACAATTATTTTTCGTTTGATAGATCATTTTAAGTGCTTGCCTTTGAGAGCTAAGATCTTTGATTATTAGTTTATTTCATTTGCGAGGATGCATATCTGGCTACTTAAAATATAAAAAACATAAAATGGCCAGGTAGGAACTTTTGGAAAATTAAATTCAGCAACTTGACAATCTGCTAGTGCCTCACTTTTACTTTCAGGACACGTTTCTGGAGCAGAAGTGCGCAAGAGGAGGAGAGACCCTCACTGGGACAGGCCGAGATCCCCGCCAGCTGCTGATGCTGCTGATGGTGGTGATGCTGGCTAAAAGCAAATTTATAACCAAACTTTCTAAAGTGTGAAAAGAAATAAGAAACATTAAAATTAAACAAGAACTGCTGCTGCTGCTGCTGCGCGCAGAATCTGCAGCCGCAACGCTATGGCAACGGCAGAAAGAAATTTTTACGGCCTATCTGAAGAGATGTTGTTGCGGTTGTTAATGGTTGTTGGTGGAGCCGCTGCCGCCGCCGCCGCCGCTGCCGCCAAGACCCCGTCTACGATCCGCTTCCGCTGCCCCCGCCCCCCAAAAAGTGGCTCACTTTTTTTCAATTTTTTTTTTTTGAGTTTTTGGAGTCGCTCTTTTTTTTTTTTTGAGGGCAATTAAAAAGTTGTCGAGCTGCGTTGTCGA